CTGGTTGATCCACTCTGAGAAGGTGCTATTTAAGAGACTGAGCTGAAAACAGCTCCTCAGACTGAGGAAGTCCTCAGGATGAAAGATGTGAAGAAGTTTGTTTTTATTTGTATTTTTTGAATCGGTCCAGAGGACCTGACTTAACTTTGTTAGAGTGCATTCACAGCAGCCCTGTTTAGTCCGCTTTAATCCAACTCTAGCTCGTTTTCCTAGAAAGTCCGGCTCGTTTAGGGAGGTGTGAACGCGCCATCGAACTCTGTCACGGAACAGAAAGGCGAACTCTGGCCCGGGCTAAAACCTAGGTCTCGGTCCGGTAAAAGAGAACTCCAGCGCGGTTCGAGTACAGTGTGAATGCAAACAGACGGAGCCCCGCTCCACAGGGTAAACAAACACACATTTCTCTTATATGGAGCCGTCAGCTGCCTTGTGTGAAAAACAATATTCTCCATGGTCTTCTGTCTCATCTTCTGCTCATGCTGAGTCCATTTTTGAAAAATGACAAAAAATAACTCCTAAAACTGATAAAACTTGATGCCACTTCGTTTTTATTTTTATTTCCAGAAGATGAGGAGGCGTGTCTTCAGAGGTTTTTGTGTCGTTTCTTTCAGTAGTTCTTGGTGCAGCGCCCCCACAGGCGAGGGGGGGAACAGGTTGGTTCAACAGGTTGACTCGACTGCACAGTGCAGTGTGAATGCAAACGCACCAGCTCAAATGTAACAAAAGGTCATGAATATTGGTCCCGAACAGAGTCTACCGGACTATCTGGTGTGAAAACGACCGTAGATGAGCAGAGTAATCTGAATAAATGCTCTTCTTCCATCAGGACATCCGGCAGCTGCGTTTGCACCGTCAGCATCGGGGGGTGGAGCTTCTACAGCTTCGTCAGACTCTCTGTAGGCTACAGGAGAAGAGCACCTTCCACAGCGAACAGGTCGACTACTACAAACATTACATCACTTCCTGTCTAGAAAACCTGACGGCCAACAGGTACACACACCTGCTCAGCATGCTGTTCTACCTGGAGACCATCCTGACATTTGATTGGCTCTCGGATGCTGGCGTCTTCTGATTGGCTGCTTGGTGTTGCAGTAGATCAGCCAAGAAGAAGAAGACGGCTGACGGTGGAGGGAGGACACTTCCTGCGCTGAGCTACAGTGCCGCCCGGCTGCAGGAGAAGGGGGTTCTGCTGGAGATCCAGGACCTGCCACACACACAGTGAGAACACGCACAGTTAGGACACACAGGGAGGACACACAGTGAGGACACACAGGGA